AAAAGTATTTATTTGTTTTATTCCTGCCTTTCACAATCGCCCCTTTCAAAAATTACTTAAAACTCGACAATGATCCCATTCGATTTTCATCATAGTATATGGATGACGTAGTTGAATGTCTGAATTGTGAAGATTACGCCACACGATGGCATTTTGGTCTTTTATTTTCCTGAAATTTAATTAGTCAATCTAAACAAGCCTTGAAATCTGATTGGCTGATTAAGCTAGTTTTGCTTTCTCGTTCGCTGAGAAAAAGATGCGATTTGTATAGATAATCACATGATTTCGACAGCAATATATGTCAGTACGAGTCAATTTTTCAATTAAAAAGCGCCATTTGTAGTCTTTTAAAAAGTTACGAGTGCTAATTTAATCCAAATTGTACGAAAAAAATCATGTGATTACTAATTAACGATATACAAGCAAAATATCATTCTGTTTTTCCCTTTTTTAGATGCCTTTATTTCGTGTTATGGCTCACCAGCTCGGCTACTTGCCTTTTCCTCAGTTTTTGCCGGAGTAGTCAGGCATCAAAATTTTAAAGCCTCTCTAGAGAATGATTAAACTTTCTAATTCTTTCTCTGTTGTGTATCGGTCGACGGCTTTGTTGTGCTTTCGCGACTTACCTGTCAATCAAGTTAATTTCAACTTTCTGCACTGAATTTCAACTTTCTACCCTGTTTGGATTAATTGACGTGTTCTCAGCCAATGAGCATGCTAAATTTTGCATGTGTATTATTAAGGGAAAAAATAATGCCATTCGTGAATAAATCGGCACGGATTAGAGCCATACAGATGGCAAGGATCAACAGTGATTTAAAAATAGATGTAATAAATATTGAAAATATTCAAGTTATCGTACCTCGCTCCCAAGTAATCTTTCAATACTTCTGCAATGGACTTTGATCCCCTTATCATGGTTTCCATAATCATCCAACATCCGGGAATGGACCAAACATGGTCCGCCATAAACTGAAAGACACGTTCCATAGCCGCTGAGCACGTTAAGCTCTTCGTAGGCTCAGCAATCATGGCAACAAACTCAGCTGCATTGAATCTTATTTCCTCGTCTTCGTCTTGTAGCAAACACAGAGTTGAACTAAGCACACTGAAAAGGCACAAATATCCACTTTCCTTTATGTTGTAAGAGAAACCAACACAATATTAAAATGAAACAAAATAAACTGAAAATAATAAAAGGCCTTACCTTGTGGCTGTCTCAATTACATACAAATATTTGAGCAGGCCAGCTTCTCCTTTACATGCCAGCACAAAGCTCAATATTGCAACACCGCATAGCTTCAGAGACTGGACTGTGCCCTGTCTTAATAGTTCTTCTTGCTCCCAGTCGCAGTTTGTTTGAATCAACTCACGCCACTGCTTTAACATTCCGCGTAACTCCAATGAATTGGTTGGTAAGACACTCATGTTAATGGTATGCCTGAGAATCAGACTGCATGCAGGAATTGCTTTACCAGCCAAAGTTACCCCTCTTGACTTCTTAGCTAGAGAAGTCAGCTTGTTCCAAAGTTCTTTTACGTTAGCGTAGGTCGGAAAGGACACATCGGACTGGGCACAAACTTTTACAAAGAGATCCAGAGCCGACACCAGACAGAAATGGTCCGTTTCGTGGATTAAAAGAGTCACGAGATCGCTAAGGACTGGGTCTGAAATTTTGTATGACTCGTTGAGTAAATACTCCAAAGCAGCAAATCTCCGTTCTTTGTTTGTTGACAAAATGAGTTGGGATAGTTGACTTTTTTGTTCTTTGAGACAAAGACAAAAGAAAAACACAAAAGTGTTTGGGATTTTATCATTAACTTGACTAGAACGTGGATGGTGCATAACATCATTAAGGCATTTCATGACAAATTATTTTCTGACGACATCATTACAGAGGTGTTTCTCTAAAATGGGTCCTATATTCCACACTTTCCTGAGAATCATGCTCTAAAATTCGGCTACAGCATTTCAATGTCAGTATGGTAGCACAACTGTATCACCCTATGGGTGTTTTGACATGCACGACAGAATACGGAAATATGAGGAAAGAAGTAGCAGCCCAACACGCCTTTTAACTAAACTGTTCTTATTATAAGGCCAAAGATGCAAAACTTTTTTCCTCTTACCTTCTGACCGAGGGAAATAAAACTCAAAATGGATACACGCCCTGACTACTTCACGTTGCCATTGTGCTTCACAAAGCAATGGATGAACAACCTCTGCGGTAGGTTCTCTTAAACTCTCCAAAGCCACTGATTTCAGTAAACTAACGTCTGGAAAAAGATAATCAGGCTTGTTGAGCTTGCCTGGTAATTATCACTGTGTAATCAAATCAACATCTGTACAAGGCATACAAACGACGCCATTTACCTCGTTCGGTATCTTTAAGGAAGGAAGAAAAATATTTCATCACAATATTGAGGAAGGCAGCTCGCGTTAAGGGACAATGATTTCTCAAGGAACATATCCACGACTTTTTCAACATTTCCTTGAAAAGACCACTTGCTCTTTCTGCAAATGCAGAGCATGGAATAACCTCAAGAAGGGCGCCAATTTGGAGTAAAATCCCATGAAGAACATTCTGCGAAAAACCCTGAGTCGACTCTGGACTTGGAAGAAGCTTGACCAGTTCCTCTACCCTGTCCAACAGGTTTTCACGGGGAATAAACGGAACTAGAGCCTTTGCTGCAATAACACGTTCTGTGTGCGATGGGCTTGAAGTCAACAACATCAGGTGAGGAACAAACTCCGGCAAAAGGCTCGCTGAACTGATAAACCAGAAAAAAAGAATTGATACATGGCTCAAGTGGATGGTGACGCACATCTAGCTGGATTCGCCTTAAACACATTTCTTTATGGGAGAATATATAGAACCAACCAACCACTGTAAGTTGAGTTTCGTAAGGTTATCACGACGGCTAATTTGAACAAAGGAAATAGAGCAAGGAGCCAATGAGAATTCAAACAACCAAAACTGTCTGAAGCGCAGGAGAACGCGAATGACCAAGTCACGATTGGTTTCGGTTGTGCATCTGGGTGGGGATGATTTTCTGAGGCAATCAGATGGCAAAGTAAAGTAAATCCAATTCAGCCCCTGATTACTTTCGAAATTCAATTGAAAATTGCTTTACAAAGAAAATTTACGTCAAGAAGTATTTTTAACCAAAAAAAAAAACCCTTAAAATTACGCTTGCTCTGCAAGCCAACCCAGGGGTACTATTTTGATTAACTGCGAATACACTCAACCAAAACATTTCCTTCGGCGACCACCTATTGTCACATAAGTTTGAAAGCCTCGGACACACATTTTAAAAGGACGTTTAATTGCCTCAGTCATACTTAAATTCCAGGGCATTTAAGTCACAATGAAAACTCGACGATTGTCTCACCTTTCGTTAAATTTAGAGTACGAATAAAGCTTTGACAGAAGTGTCAAAATGGGAAACAGTTCTGGTTTGGACAGATTAAAAAACTGCGCGGAGGAACTGTAAGCTGACCGCGGTGTATTTTGCAAATGAGAAAGGAAGAATTTGCGTAGAGCAGGGTAGCTGTTGAAAAAGTCCGACGAGCTCATCGTGTTCATTTCAGTGTCGTCATCTGCAGTACGTCGCTGACCAAGCATTCGCTTTACTAAGGAACCTAGAACGATAGAAAAATGTGCCATCTATAAATATACGGTGACCATCGCCGGGGTGGTCTGGGCTGGGTTCTATTCATTGAACCTAAACTTTCTGCTTCAGCTGATTGAAGTAAAATCAGGATGAGGTTTGAGCGAATAAATAAAATTGTTCGATTAAAATTACAAGAGGCTCAGTGCCTTTTCAAACTGTCCCCATCTGACCACGATGGAAAAGTTCGTTCGATGGAATGGGCACTGGAAAGGTAACCATAGGACACATGTATATTGACTAATTAAGAAAATCGAATTTCATTTATATGCTTAGGGCTACTATTGCTTCATCCACAAGAAGGCATAAAACGGATGTGAGATCTGAAAAGAAACACAAGTTAAAATGCTCAACTATAGAGGTCTCTCACCGAACAGTTGCATGGAAGCATTCCTAACCGCCCATGATGAAGATGCAAATCCACCTATGGCCATTATCGTTCCCTGTGAGGCGTACTGCAGAATTTCACAACCAAGAGACGTATCTTGGTAAAGTAGCTTCAAAATGTTGATTGCATGTACCTAGCATCATCGATTGCAAAAAATTGTTGAGAAATCAACGCTGATTCCAGTTTATGCATAAAAATACATTTGAAGGCTGGGAGGTATCCGGAGGTCAGGATGTGAAGCAAAACTTATTACTGAGATATATGTGGTCGTCACCATTCTTAATAACGATATTATTGAATGAAAATAGTAACAACGACAATAACGATAATAATAATAATAATAATAATAATACTTAAGATAAAAATGATCGTATTTATGATAATAATGTAGATAACGATAATAATAACAATACTTATACTAATACTACAAAAAGCAATTATGATGATGATGATACTTAAAGCATAGAAATTAACCTGAATGCCACAGCAGAGAGAGTCAGAGTATTTAGTTTTATTTGTGGGGTTGAAGCTTTTCAAAGGCAACATTAATTAACATCAAAGTTGTTACCGAAATATACAGTGCAGTTCTGTCAATTTCTCCTTGCTTGAATTAAACAAATTTCCCCTCAATACCTGTGGCAGGTCGAGGTGTTGGTCTATGACAGCAGGAATAGGTAGCGATACAATGTCCAGTAGACACTTCATGCACTGCTTCAACAGCAATCTTTGACTTGAACTTGGTGCACATGCCAAAATACTGGAAAACAGCACAGGTAGTCCTGCACTGAAAGATCAATTTACATTTTTGTTTGATAATCAAGCAAAAAAAAAATGAAGTATTCAAAAAGCAAAAGCAGAACCCAGGACGCGCCGAACGCAGGCGTTAGTACAAGCAGAACAAACATTTTATGCTCGTGCTTATGTCCAGTAAGATCGCGCTGCTATAAGCACATGCATAAAAATAAGGATACATTATCTAACTGTGCATGCGCACGTGCTTACGATCGTCTGTGCACGTCTAGCCAATATACTTATGCTGGTGCTAACATTGTAATGAAAACCAAGCCTTTTTAATACATGGGTTCGTTGCAAATCAGTGGCTGATAGGTTTCGGTTACCTGCGTCTGGTGATAGAGGTTTGAGAGCTTGATAAAGACACTGTGTTCAACATGTCATCCAGCCACTTCCTTGGTACAGAGTGAAGACATGGTAGTGATGATTGAAATAAACACCGGCAAATCTTCAAAAAACTGCTCCTACAGTGCTGAACAACACCCTATAAGAACAAAACGGTAAGGATAAGCGAGCCTTCGTGGAAACATTAAGGAATAAGGTGACTGTGCGAGAACGGTACATATATTATCAAATTCGTGTAACACGTTCAGCTCATCGTTTGCCGCCATTTTGTGTTTGTGGAACTCTAAAAAACATAAGCCAATCAAAATCAGGGGAAGCACGCAAACTTAACACTTGTGGGCGTCATTGCTGATAGCTTGGTTACATCGTGGGTAAATTGCTTCTTCTGTGCACAATGAAATAATCAAAATACTACGGGTGTGAACTGGTCTCTGAATTTCACAGAAATATAGTAGAGATGGAACTTGCGACACCACAACAGATGACGATGGATTATAGCCAAAACCGAAAGAGGACTTAAAGGGCTGGCGGAATAATAGTAAACATACCTGGTGCCTACACTGCATGATAACTTTCCAAATTGTCTCGGCGACTTTCCTCAAAGTTTCTTCACGAAGTAACTGAATTGCTGGTAAATGCTTGAGTTGGGTGGTAGTCTTTTCAAATATGACTGCTAGCAAATGACATGCACACTGTTGAAACAAATGAGACTGGTATGAACGTGCTATCTCCTGTAAAAGTTTAGTGATTCTTCGAAGATGCCTTATTAAAAACTGGTATGAATCGCATTGATATCAATCCATAAAGTGAAAAAGGGAAAATCTTGAACACCATGCAAGCATATGTTAATACGTTAAACACAACAGAGTCGTATAAGTGAATGAAATACCTTAATATTAAGCCAGCAACAAGAAATCACCATATCTTTGTGGGTGTGAACAGGAAATATTTCTTTTATTCCCTCGTCATCGTGAGTCATTGACAAAGAGACTATTTCATCCAAGGCTTCGCCGATATCGGCAAACGACGCTCCACCAACTGACGGATGAACAAAAAAACATTTCAGGTAGCAAAATGTCCAATAAACAAATGAACACCAAAATTGGAGCACAAGAAATAAAGATTACTTCGAAAGCATTCCGGCCCCAAGTTTGCAATACAAAAAGGAAAATCTCGACGAGGAGTGATAGGTGGTAAGAATCGCACGGTTAAAATGAAAAGATCTAGTGACGAGTGATTGGCATTGATAAAAACTAGTTTTCGACCTGCTCCGTCGTTTGTCCTACCCGTCTGTATTCTCTCTTTTGTAAATTGGTCTCTCTTTTGTAAGCTATAATCATAAACTTCTGGTAAAAGATCTATTTTCAAAAAATACCATATTTTGATTTTTGGTAATTTTCATGTTACCCTCACAATGTTTCTCTACTGTAGATAATAGTAATAATAATAATAATAATAATAATAATAATAATAATAATAATGTCTCTGACATCCATTTAGGACTGACAAAATTTAAATTGCAACTAACAATGCTCTACAGAGGTGTCGTACTTGTATCAGTATTGTGGCCTCCAGAAAGCAAGTCCAACATGTAGATTATGATGTTAGTAGCAATATCAACGGTGTGTTGTATGACAGTCTGAAGCTCAATCTGATTATCTTTACTGATAACACCTAAGCTTAATTCTTGAATGCAATGTGCCAAAGCTAGAGAAATACCTGCAACAATAAGAATATTTTGACTAAAATTAGAAATATTTGTTGATCAAAGAGGTTTCTTTCGCTTAGGATAATTGTTAAGGAATCAACAAAACTTTATTTGATCAAACATTAAAACATTTAAAGGATTTCTAACGGAAATTTATTTCTGTTATATTTGACCAACACTCATGACGAGGGGAAGAAACTGTTTTAATCCCAATATCGAGGTCAGGATTTATTACCTTTCTTATTCTAATGGCCCAACTCACCATAGTGTTATATGCGGCTCTGCGTTAGAGTATCAGGGCACCGGATCAGCAGCTCAGGGGTTCGATTTCTCATAGAGATTCGGAATTTTTGTTCTATGTTCCGCGCTTGTGACGAGACGAAAAACACGAATGATGATAATTTTGGTTTTCACCATAGCGCTTTATCACGCACTTTTTAGAAAACTAAACCTACCATGGCCTGGCTCATCTTGCGATGCAAGTTTCAGATTCTTTCGAGCAGCTTCAAAATGCACTTTAAGTTCAGCCAACACTTCTTGTAACATGTGAATGGTCGTCTCACTGCTAGGTAACTCGCCCAACGTAGGAGGTTTAATTTCTTGTGCTGACAAACTGAATTCCCACCCTAACATTGAAACATACCTGAAAGAAAAATAAATATGGTACTATACACTGGTACATACCACGCAGGTGAAAAGTGCGCGAATTTTGATTGGCTAACTCGGAGGTGGTTAGCCCAGTTACAATTCACCTTCAAGCTCTTGAAAAAAAACTGGATTCGTTTTATTTTGAAGACGAAGATGTTCTTTTTACGATGTTAGTGAAATGGTTTCTGAATGCTCTATAGATTTCTCTCACCAATTCAATCGAGAAAATGCGTAAAAATTAAAACTACAGTATGTATAAAAAACTACGCAAGCTTGTTGTTATCTATCAGTCGCGCAGAAAAAGTGATAGTTCCCAAAGTTTTTTCCTCAACCATCATTAACTACTTTAAACCTGGGAATGGCTTTTATGCCGCCATCCGCCGAAACAGCCCCGGGAAAGAGAAGTGCGAACCTGTGGACCTGAGGGCTCCTGGCTGAAGGCATGTACCTCTGTAGGTTTGGACCACAAGTTGCCTTCAACCTTACCTATGTCTATCCCTCTTTCATTTCAAAAATTGTTTTATCCTTAACATAATTGGCACCGGTACCTCCAAATAACCCGAGCTTTTCTCAATCATCAACACAAATTGGCTTCCGTTCTTGTGAAACCTCTACATCAATGTCTGACCGAAAAAACCAGAACAATTTGTGGCTCATTTTCCAACTTTGTTCCCAGGGTCTCTAAACCCTTTCGAAGACGTTCAGTCGGCCAAAGGGCACGATCATGGCGCAGACTGGAAAAAGAAGGGATGTTTGGTTAGGGTCACAACTTTTTCCACGACTTCCTTCTTTTTCCACTCTGCACTTCAAACGCGCCTCGATTAATGACTGAACGACTGAAACAGGTTAAGATGTCCTCACATTCCACCCCGTTACAAAACCTGCAACGAGACCGACGTAGAATACAGGAGATACACAGGAATACCGTTCCTTCATTTCATGGATAGATTATTCCGACTCGTGTAACACTAGAGTTCCATAACTACTGCACTTTTTACTTCATTCAAGTATCAGCGCAGGCAGCACTCATAATCATAAACATTTGCGGCGTCTCTTTGATTCAGTTTTGACTACAAGGTTCAAAGTAAAATTTAGCCTATCAGAAATCTTTTTACATATGGGCAAATCAACAGTTTCTTTAATGATAACATGTCCTCTGATAACATGATTTTCTTACTCAAAACAGATCTGTGCTGGTAGTTTTGAAAAGTTTTCGTTCTCTTTGATCGTCTAGGATGATCTGTTATGATTATTTCTAATCGATCCTGCATTTATCAAGGTGTCCAAATTTGAGGAGATCAAAGTGTTTGTGAGCCACTTAACTCAGAAAATGAATCAGAGGGGGGTGGGATGGCAAGGCTTCTGAACCGACTTCTTACTTTCAAACTTTTGGCTAGGGAAGATCACGATCTATCTTTTTATTCATCTTATTCTTTAATAGCATATGGTTTTCTCGTTTTTCTCGTTTCGCCTGAAACGAAACCATTAATTGTCGGCGATCAAAGTCTAAGAATCATAGTCGCCTTATTCGAAGCAAAAACGTTACTCCGACGACAAAGTAAGTTCATCCCATGATTGTTGATCATCAGAAATCAGTGGAAAGATATAAGGTGCTGTTGTCGCTCTTAACTGAGCTTTTCAAAATTTCAGTTCCTGTAGGTTACATGCAAAAAGTAAGGTTTATTTCGCAAGTTCGATCTCAGAGGAACGACGATCGGTCCTTGTACGGCTCCAGCTTGAAGGTCGCCTACAGACTCAAGGAATGCTCCCGAGACCAACTTTTATAATGTGAAAACTATTACTAAATACCTGCTATGGATTAACTGGAACAGAACAGCTCCTTTCTCGCAATCCTGAACTTTTGGGCTTTTGGCGAGAACCACAGCCTTTTGTACCAGCATGTGTGCCGATGCTATACCAGTGGAATCATTCTCTAAAACCTTTAAAGGCCACGAAAATTGCTCTTGGAGAATAATCACTGCTGCATCACGAATCTACAACCAAAGATCGTTTAAAGTGTGAAATCTACAATTTCTCAAAATTTAGAAAAATGTAATGTACAAAATTAACCAATGAGTAAGCAACTTCAGCACGTACATCAGCGTAGCAGCTTTCCACACATCCCAACAATATTACAGCACTCCTGAGGAGATAAATGAAAAATAACTTAAAAGATAAATAATAAATAAACTATGATAATATGGAAATTGTAGCGTAGGGAAAAAATGTACGCAAACAAAATTGCCAAACTGTTCTTGGAATAAGAATATGAAGTAACCTGCTTTACCTTCCCTATTATTATACTTTAAACAAAATACCCCGATCGGTCAATGTTTGTGAATAAAAAGATATCGAGTGCAATACGAATTTCCGAATTTCATTGTCTAGCAATTTACGCTCCCAGAGATAAATCAAACATGTGGATCCCCACCGAAAAAAAACAAGCTTGGTTTTTCGGTCACAATTTCAGCGCAAAATTATCAAAACAGAGTAAGCGTGGAAAACTGACTTTGATGAGAACATGGCAAATAAAAGTCGCTTGAACTGCTCGTGTATTTCGTGAGTTGTGGTCACTCGTGATGTTTAGAAAAGTTTTCAAATCATAATTGCCTGAGGCATGTGCAATTATATATCTTTCATAACATCACACGTGCCCATAAATCACGAAATGAAAACAGGTCACATTTGATCATTAAAATCCAAGTTGAAGGACTCTGAAATAAGCCTTCTGCAATTCTATCCAAAATCTGGGAGCAGACGGTGCTGCTTCAGTAAACATCGACTAAGAGCTGGTTTACAAAATTCCGGATAATTTCTCCAAACGGTTTGCTTTGTGATTTAGCGTAATCCTAAATACTTACCCTATGTTCTCTTTTGTGAGTGAAAAGTTATACTGTGGGAACCTTCAGTACAAGTTGAAAGCACCACCAGTCACGAGAGTGGCTTATCCTAGTCAGCGTCTAGATAAAGCCTAAGTTGCTATGTATGATCCATATATATTTTCACAAAATTAAACTACTATTTTATCATATGGTTGTTCCGGATCATTTTGATTCTTTACTTAAAACAGACGTCTCGAAATGCTAAGCTGAAATTAATATGGTGGGAGGTCATAGTACACTTCTACGTTTATAGGTCAAAGACCTATGAACGTAGAAGTGACATCGAGGCTAAAGAACTCGACCTTGAACATCTGTGGCTTGAATTTCCCGGCAGAAATAAACATAGCAAGCTTCTTTTAGGAACAATGTATCGCTCGGAAAGAATGCTAACCTCAACGGAATGGCTAGAGCGTTTTGAGAACCTCCTTGGTTACCTAACAGCAACCTGGGATGGTCTTATAGTTGTGACAGGAGACATCAACATAGATTTACTCAGACCAAATAAACCTATAACTAGCCAATATCAATTTATATTATCTTCACTAAACTTACATCAACATGTACATAAACCAACCAGGACAACAGACAAGAAGAGCACACTTATCGATCATATAATCTCCAACCTTCCAGAACGTATTCCGCATTACATCAAAGTTACCAGATTCCAAATAAGGCACAAATTCATCTGAAATTTGAAGAACTTTGATGAATCTTCCTTTATTGAAGACTTTAAAACACTACCATTTACAGCCTCCTTTGGAGTCTCTGATCCGGATGAAAAGCTCGAAATATTAAGTTCATTGATCAAGGAATGTATCGATAGGCATGCACCATTAAAATTAACGAAGGTCACTCGACCACCTGCACCGTGGCTTAAAGATCCAGCCATTGCGGAACTCAAGGAACAAAGAGACCGCCTACGATCTGCAGCAAGAACGAGTAACAACAACAAAGAAATTTGGGAAAAGTTCCGTGCGGCCCGTAAACGCCTTAAAGAATTAATTAAGTCAACCGAGAGAAACTTCATGGAAAGAATGTGGTCATCTAAGAAACCAAAAGAAGTTTGGAAAGAAATTAACCGTATCCTACACCCGAGTCCGCAGCGAATAACTATGCAACCGGACAAGCTTAACAATTTCTTTGCATCCACGGCCGAACGCACCATTAGCATCAACGCCCACCATGTTGATGATTACGCCTTAATTATAAACTTGATTCAATCACTCCCTGCAAACTTTGATAACGGTTTTCAAATCAGGACCGTTACTCTTAAAGAGGTCATTCATGAGTTACGCAACATTCGAACAGACTGTTCAACTGGTCTTGATAACATCCCTGCAAACATGATCAAAATTAAATTTTCAAAATCCCGTACGGGCCTGAAATTTTTTTCAGGTCCTACTTACAACTACTAGTTTCAGTAGTGTTCTTAGCTGCGAGGATCTTCTAATTTCATCTTTCCACCGCAGTGCAAATATGTGAATATTCATATATCTAAATCTTCATTCACTCGGATGTTTATTTGGACCCAATTCATTGACCAGCTCCCAGTTGGCTTGTTAGCTCAATTGGTAGAGCGCTGCACCGGTATCGCAGAGGTCATGGGTTCAAATCCCGTACGGGCCTGAAATTTTTTTCAGGTCCTACTTACAACTACTAGTTTCAGTAGTGTTCTTAGCTGCGAGGATCTTCTAATTTCATCATGATCAAAATGGTTGCAGATTATCTGGGGTCTCCGCTCACTGATGTCATCAACACCTGTATCAAGAACTTGTACTTTCTATCTGCTTGGAAGCTCGCGCGCATCTGCGCGATTCTTAAAGGGAGCCAAATTAAATCCGAGAAAGACTTACGACCTTTATCAATATACCAGTGCTTTCAAAGGTTTATGAACGACTGATTTTCCGTCAGCTGTCTGTTTTATTGATAAGAACAATGTTCTCAACAATAAAATTTCTGCCTATCGAAAGGCACAATCGACAGCTACTGTACTTCAAGCTATACGAGACGACATAGTAAAAGCCATGAAACGTTCGGAGGTAATTATGATGATCTTAGCCGACTTTTCCAAAGCCTTCGATACGATCTGTTTCACAAATCTTATCAGCAAGATGAGTAAACTAGGTTTCCCTAGAGACTTCCTGATATGGACACTCAATTATATTACGCATCGTAAACAATTTATACAGATTGATGACACGTGCTCAGAGGTTAAAAACGTGAATTTTGGGGTTGCGCAAGGCTCCATCTTGGGTCCGGTGCTATTCAATATTTATGTTGCTGATCTTCAGGAGAACCTAGATGTCAAAAGCTTCCAGTATGCGGACGACACAACAACCAACGATCATGCTAGAATATCTGACCTAAATAACTGTAGAAACACTGTCTCGAAATCAATTAATAAATGAAGTGCCTGGTCTAAGCAGAGTACCCTCGCCTTTAACATCGACAAAACCAAGGTTATGATCCTATCCACCCCGCAAATGTCCAGAGCACATCACCCTGACGAGTATGATCCTAACATCGTAGTCAGTGGTTATAAACTAGAACGTATTAAATCTTGCAAACTGCTTGGAGTTCACATCAATGAGCATCTTAAGTGGGATGATCACATCAAGCACACGGTATCTGAATGCTACGTCACTCTATCGATACTGAAAAAATTGAAATACCTTGCCAAATATGAGCATAGAAAGCAACTGGTAGAAACATTGATTTTGTCAAAACTAGACTGCGCCGATCTGGTTTTTTCCCCTTTACCACAATTCTTACTTCGCCGTTTGCGACGAGTTCAATTTGGTGCCGCAAGTTTTGTACTCGGTCACTATGTCAAGAACTTTCGGGATGTACTTAAAATCGGATGGCTTCCAATCAATGAGAGAAGAGATTTGAACCTCCTGAAATCATGCTTTAAAGCTTTGCATAACACTGAGACTTACCAGATTATCTTAAAATAATAAAACAGGAATGCCGCAAGGAACTACACTCAAGCAATTCAATTAACCGAAAACAGCACTTTCCAAGATAACGCGTCGAAGCTATTTAACAATTTGCCAGAATCTAATAGAAACTGTAAAGATTATACAACCTTTTTAAGACTTTCAAGGAATTTTTTATGTAATAGAGTACAGAGTGATTAGTTAGTTTTACTGTAATTTCTATTCTGTTACTCCTACTTCTACTTTTAATTGCATATTGCGTAATTTGTGAAATAACTTAATTTGATTTTTTTTATTATTATTTAATTTAATATTTTAACAGGGAAGAGCCACCTGGTGGATCTGTCAATAAACCATTATTATTATTATTATTATTATTATTATTATTATTATTATCATCATTTCAATGATCATAAAAGCTGCTACATGATGACAATGGAAATTGTGCCTCTGTAAAAATTTACTCAGAATTTCAAACATTTCATCATGAGCAAGCAAGGCCTCTGGATCTCACCTGATGGAGAAAAACTGAAAGTATCCATGACGATTGGCCAAGGAAACAAGCAAGTGACATGAAGCTGAAGGAAAATATGCAAAATGCAGTATCTATTCAATTATACAGCACACTGGTACTTAAAATGTACAATCAGTAAACATTAAACCAATGAACATATCAGCAAATCTTCAAAATCAACTGAAAATTCAATTAAGACTTCGCAGTAACAGAATACGATCAATATACTTCAACATACTATTTACTTAGGTACTTGTTCTTATTGTCAAATACTATCTATTACTACTTGCTCTTTGGACGCTCTGAAAGAAGCCCAAGGTTAAAATTCGGTTTGTTCGTGTTGAGGCACTAACCGCCGTCGAGGCTCTCAGGCCCCTGCCTACGTTAGACCTCAAGAACTTGCTGTAAAGCATGTGAGAGAAAATTGGTGCAAAGGATTGCCTTCTCAAATAGTTTTCAAATGCTTTTCAAATGTCTTCCACAAGACAAATATCACATACATACGAAGTTTCCATGTGAAATAGGGGCGAAAACCGTACAATAACTGTACCTTGATTTTACCGTTACGATCGCCTAAGTACTCACACTTATGCGTCTAGTCACTATTCTTTCAGTCTCTTTGAAGTCTGATTCAGCGTTTGTTCACTTACCCGTATGGTAATCGATGTAAAATCAGCGTAAACCCAGTCTTCAACGAGCTAATACTTTGCGAAGGTGGAATATTTGAGAGTGCAAGTTTTGTACCGAACGGCACTTCTTCTTATAGAAATCAATTAAAGCGTTCAAGAACAGTAGTAACAAATATGGGAAGCAATACCGTGATGAAAAGCTACCACCATAAGTTGGCAAAAATTAACGTTTGGGCGTTTTTCAGTTTCGCAACTCAATTCTTTGAATCGAATCTTTTTCAATGAAAAAAAAACTAATTTGCACGATAATTCTAGACGAACTATTTCAACAGGAAACCCTTTAACATCGGAATAAGACCCGCCATCCACATGCTTGTCATGTGACAAGTAATGCGCACCCATTCGCTTAATAAGTCTGTTATTATCGATGACCAATTCATGTACTTACTTGACGATCGCGCACACATAAGTAGTGTAGCTCGGAGTTAAAATGTAAGGTGTAAGATTTGTTCAGAGTTGTTTGAAAAAAGATATGTACCTGGTACTTGACCCTTTTTCTTGTCTGGCTGCAATTTCAGTGAGAAGACATCGAAAATAGCCACCAAAAGTTGCATTGCTTCAAGTGTTAAAAAGTGTATATATCAAAATGAGGATAACTGACAGAATTACGACAAAAACAAACGCGTTAGTCCTAAAGTTTTTTAACTGTTTCTCGCTAAAAAAAATGTACGAATATTGAAGGTGTGATCGGGGGAGAGAGCGCTCCTTAACAGTACTTTAAGAACAATTAAACATCGACAAAAAATTAAAACAGCGGCTTCATCCATAGTTTCCCATACTTCCCTCCCGAAATATTCAGGATGTGCCAAACTGCTATTTTCCCAAGAAAAACACAATAAATTTTTGTTGAGCCTTCATTGCACCACAATTACATACAACAAGCTGCTTACCAGTCTTCTGTCTCTGGTACGAAGCTCCTGGAAAGAAGCATCCCATTGCAAGCTGAAATAACCAATCTACAAACTCTGCAACAGAACAGAACAGATGTTGTGATCACATACACTGTTCATGAAGCTATAGCAAAACGTGGATTCAAATCGGATAAAAAGTTTTATAAAAATTTTGATTTTCATAACATGACTGTACATGCATTATTATGTATAAGCTACAATCAGTATTGGTTAACGATTTCATTGAAGTGATATTTCATAAACGCTACCCTTGGTAGAGGTAGATACAAGGTGTATAACAACATAAGTGAAGAAGATATACATAATCTAGTAAACATTGGTATCACTATATCAGTTCTGATCAGCCAACAAGATTCTGATTGACACGAACCTCTACATTGGTATTTTACGCGGTCTTACTCAACCTCATCCAATAATTCCCAGTTTACAATCTGCCACACTCTCAAACATAAATATCGCACCCTTCATTCAAAAAAAAAAAGTTTACTTCCCCTAGAATACCGAAACTGAAGAAAACTACTGACCTTATTCCCACTGAATTTGAAACATATGACGAATCTTACACCAGAGGCTTCAATATCTGGCTTTCTTGTTTCAAATATAAAACTAGGAAAAACCCAATAAACTTGTTGTTACATGTAACATGACACCAGCACTTACTTAACATTTCATCAACTGTCTGAGGTAGAAGAGAGTCCATGTCTTCCTGATGATGGTCCTTCAACAAGATCAAGCTGTAGTCACAAATAACCAGGATTAAACATAAGCATTTGACCTTATGCTCTAAAATTCAAATTACGGTAAATTTTTTTGAAAATTTGAATCATAAAACAATACTGACCAACTATCCCTAACTCTTCCAAGTACTTTCTTCATAGACACGAAAAGTGTTTGCCTGAATGGAGCACACGCTATATTCAAATTATTAGGAAGAAAATCCTTTAGAAGCCTTTGTTCCATTGTTGAAAGGGGCTCTACATGTGAAATCAAAAAACAACTGACTTAGGAAGAGGGTAGTAAGAAGCAAAACTTTTCAAATAAGTCCACGCACAACAAGAATAAAATATACCATACAAGTGAATAGTGCTTTTCACGCGCTGATTGGCTGGCTCAGAAGTGAACAGAAAGTACTATTTCACTTCTACAAAATTGCTCGTTAAGAATTAAATTTCCGACCATTTTGAGTATATTGACAGATAAAAATTCGGTTTCTGCGTGGTATGAACTGAACCAATAATTCACCTCAGTGTTGGTGAAAGTGGTCAGGCTTCTGCAAATATCCACTACTATTCACCCCCATTTTGGTCAGTAATTGTTAACTAATCACTCAAAGACAATTTTAAGCCTTTATCTCCCATCCACGAGAAACAAGCAGCCTCAGTAAGAGAGTGATAAGGTCATCTACATGACCCACAGGCAGTCAACTCAAGTAAGTTGTTTCAGTGGGCTGGTGTCTAGTTTGATTACGACCAGCCTGAGATCCTACATCAAAGGCTTAAAGGGATAAAGTCCGCACCTAATAAAGCAGTGGAAATTAAGTCTATTTAACACCTTTATATTAATCAAATAACCCCTTTTCTATAAACGTGTCACTACTTTACAATAAAAGAAAAACAATCAATAAAAAGTTGTTCGGCAGAAGAATTCGTTGACTGTTCACGTTGTTTCTGGTATAAGCTGCATCTAATGTGATCAAGGATTATCAGAGAAACTACATTGCCTGATATGTTTGAGGTGTATCTCACATGTACCTGCTGTCTTTGGTGTGAAACTGATCACGGACAGTGCAGTAGCTTTAATGTCGTTTTGTAAGTGAGTCAGACCCTCATTAAGAGAATTCTCTTCCTGACGAAACCAAAAACAGTCAATCAATAACTCATTCTACCAATTTTAATGGATCACTTCTTACAACATGGGACAAGGTGAATAGTGTGCAAGGAGGAAAGTCCCTTTCATACATTGCGTTAACTGAGGCATGTCAAGGAAGTTTAAAAATGGAGAAAGAAAATATATGAACAAAACTTTCCATCGCTGCTATCTTATTTCCAAGACACTATGTTACGTGTGGATGATATCAAAAGCTAATTGTGACCAAGTTGCTGGTTACAGCTCTAGAACATTGAAGTATCTTTGAGATGCACTAGAATCAAAGCCTATTCCCTAAAAACTGGGGATACAATAGCAGGCTCTAATTGGAAATCAAGTACGGCCAATCTTAGCAAAACCTATGTTAGAGCCATCAAATGAGACTTTGTCCACTCTTTGCATATCTCAAATCTTCCAAAAATTCATTTTCACAAGCAACTGGTGCAGGTGAAAGTCTTTTGCTCACAATGTCATCAAGCCCTGTTTGTCTTATTCTGTTCCAAAAGCAGTTATAATTCTTATAAAAAGCTACAAAGAGAAAATCTGCCAAATGGTGGCCAATCTGTGTTGTTGGGCTCGGGCAAGAGTGTATTGATGTAGAGGGTAAAAATCAAATTTACCAGGAATTTGTGTCATTCTCATGAATGTTTGTACAAGTTCTTCACTAAAAACCAAGTAAGGATGTCAATTCATTTGTTAAGAGGATTGGTGAAGAAAAAAAACCATGTACACAAGAAATCAAATCAATGAACCCCTGAGACAACAACGTACTTATTTTTCCAGGCAATAATAAAAATGTGGAACATTCATAAATAAGAACATAAATAGCGAAAATAAAAAAACTCTCTTAGAAATAGAGATCAAGTTTGCCAAAGTTGAAAGCATGCATCACATTCAATATACTCCAACAGTAAAAGGGACTGTTCTAGATGTAACATTCTATCACTCACCAAGTCTTCTACTTGTAAAAGAGCTAATGAACGACCAACTTTCAACACTGAAAGAAAACCCAAGAAAACTGTTGTCCTGTTCTCAGCTTTATGACATGCATCTCTAAGTTCCTTTAGCAGTGAGGCTACATATTCAGGAAACAACTTGAGTACACATGGCAGCCAATACAAGCATGCATTCTTCTGCAGCAATCTGTTGACAGAGTAAAGAATACAAAGTCTCAGCTTATATTGATGAAAACACCTAAAGGGAGACACATATCAGAGTGATACATGCCATTTCAATGAAACATCACTGCTGATCAAATAAATCTTGCACACATACACATGACAACAGCTGCTCAAGTATTTTAGTAAAGTAGAGTCATGTTAATTGTTACTATATACCTTTCAAAAACATGCATATGAAAATTATTTCTCTGAATGGGTCATATTTCAATCCATTGAGTTGAATTCTACATGTGCAATGACTAGGTGTATTCATATGTTAATTCATTCTCACCAGCTTTGTGCTTGCTTACAGTTAAACACGAATAATTGTGACCAAAATAATTGTGGCAAGTCCATCAATTTTAAAAGTTTACTTACCATTTATAACGCATAGTGAATGAAAGGAATAAAACTATTATTGGAATGTCAGTCTTACTTAAACAAACCTGTCTTTACTTGTCAAGGCAAAAAACAATTTTGCTTTCCAATTTTTCTCCCAAATTTGCATGAACACGGACACATCCTGGAAAATATCAAAGAACATAACTGAAGAAGAAGTATGATGCCACAGACCAAAAATGGTCATATCTCCATTACACGTACCAAACCGACACTGAACAATGTAAGGACTAAAGCAGTGTCAGGGAACTAATCAGAATTTGGGATGCTTCCGACACAATATAATGTACACGATTGAGTTTATATTTGCAATAATTTTACTGAATTTCAATTAAGGTGCAGCAAAAAAGTCTTCTATGCAAATGATCACATGAATGAATTTTATCTTTCTTAAACAAATTGTGAATCAGTTCTTTAGGAGGAAAATTTATAGCAGTTGAAAATTCACCGTTCTCACTCTTTATTGACACTAGGGACTGTCTTTTCCTCATTCTACTTAGAATCGTAGCTGAAAGGTTATAGGCAACAATATAACTTATCAAAATGGGGCTGGAAGGCTCTTACTTCACTAACATCAGATCAACATCCAGATTCTGAATAGCAAGCCTTTCTATTTTCTTTTATCCAAGTCGCACATGCTTAAGCTGCACATGGGCATGAGGCAAAAGCAAGCAAAAAACAAACAATAAAATACAAAACAAATTCAAGCAACATGCAAGGAAGAAGGGGTAGGGAGGAAAAGAAAGGCCTGCTGCAGACCCAGAGATTTTACCTTGGCCATTTGTCCAATGAGACATAGTATTAGCCAATTACTCATTAAACAGGATGGCAAAGTTATTAAATTAACTTTACAAGTCATTTACATGTTAGTTCACAAATCAATATTTCAGAGCTTGGTTGGCACCAGTTTTGGTTTTTTAAGGAAAATCCTTTGGAAAATGTTCAGCAGCAATGGGCAAGAGCCTTTTCAAAGAGTGGGACAGGGAGTGTCTGTTTGAACTATGCTGCAAAATCAATTTTGGTGTTTGCCAAACATTGTAACTTTTTAGCACTAAGTAAACATACAGTAATCATGTCTGCACTTAACATGCTACTGATTTGTATAGCCATAAATGTCATCAAGCAAAACAGATACTGATATGTTATGAAATTGCACCTGTTTTCCATGCTGACTACAGCCAATGACTGAGCATAAAGTAAAAAGTTTGCTTGCCATGCTCTTACCTCTGGTTTTGCTGGGAAGGATTCAGATTTCACAGCCACAATATTTAGAAATAAGAATTTCTAACGCAGGGTCCAGAATTACTTGTGCTATCCCTATCTCTTAACCTATCCATCTCAATTATCTCTCCAGATATCAATCATGAAACAGATATCTAATAATTGGTTCTTCTCAAAGAAAAAAAGACCTCCTTGCCAAACAATTTTTGCACTTGCCCACTAGGCAACTTTAGAGTTTTAGTGTGCTGCACTCAACAAGCATAACATATGGAGAAGAGAAACTCTACCTTTTGATCAAGCTGCTCACTCCCTGAACTGTTTCTGTAGAAATTAATGTTATAAGCAACTGGTCATTAAGTAGCATGATACTGTATCAATGAAACTGTCCCATGTAAAAAGCCACCATAAACATAATGATATAAAACACTGTAGCACTTCACAAAGTGCATACCATTTTGCTCAAGAAGTTTCATATTTCTCAACCTCCAGGGTTCTATATAAGTCTGAGATTTTTCCTTGGAACAAAAGGTCTAAAGACCAATCTTAACATTTCTTTAGTGGAAACTTGAATGATGCCTTGTTTTACCAAGTACTTACATATACTTGTGAATTCTCATCTTCTGAATAAAGGAGGTACATTTCAAGAGAAACTGTGGTGTTGCGTCATTGGGGGTATTACAAGATAGCTTGATTAATTGTTAATTGAGTTGATTATGTAAATTGGCAAACATAAAAGTTTCTGAGGCTAACATTATTTTTAAACAATTTTTTTTAAACATTAGCCCTTTGTCAGAGTGAATGATGAAGGCTGACTCTTTGAATATCAGCTTCAGAAACTCTTTATGGTGACCCATTTACATTTTCAACTCAAGCAATAAAAACAAATTATCTAATCTTTTGACTTTGTTGAAAATGTTAGAAGTTGCATCATGTACCTCCCCTTTTCAAGAAAAGCCTTGAAAGCACTGGTGGAGGCAGAGGTTAGCTGATTGAATCCCAAGCAGCGAATCAGGTCATCCAAAATGGCAGGGTGGGCCTCCAAAATCTAGAGACAAAGTAAACACACAAACAATTTTACAAAACTAAAATAACAGTTCTATCAAAAAAGGCAATGGGAAATTTTTAGTTCAATGGTTAGGTTGTTTGTACATAAGTAGCCAGGCATTCAATCAGGAGAAAAGGGTACTGAACAACTTCACAGAAACCTTGAAAGTGTATAATGTGGTGCACTGTAAGCAATATCACTGCAGAATACATAGGAATGCTTACCCATGCAAAGACTATTTTTTGAAAGAGGCAGGTTGGGTGGGGCACTTGGACACCCCTTCTTGCCATACTACACATGTTAGTGTAGATCAAAGCAAAATTTAAACTCCAATTTATCTCCAATTTTGCCATGTCTATTCTTCAAATTAGTGCAAATACATCAAGTAAAGAGAAAAGGGTCATATTTCATGGGCTTTCTTGGGCATATTATAGTGTGCTCTCTTTCATTAGCTGTTGCCAATGTAGGCTTCCACCTGGAATATGTGATAAAATTTACAAAATGTAAGTTGTTTAGAGACACATGCTGGGACAAGGTACAAGGCAGCCAAAGGTGGATTTGGTTGACATACATTTAAAAGGTCATAGCACATACACAATACATGGAAAATTGGCTAACAGTGGCATTTTGCTTGGTGTAAGCCTTCCCTAATCGGAGGACATTGGTGACAATTAAAGGAGGAAGTCCTCAATTAAGATTGAGCAACCTCCATTTAGCTCTCATGTTGCTCATACATTTGTTTAGTTTCTTATTTGGTCATAACACAATCTTTTTGCAATTTCCAAACATTGGTTTAATTTTCTCCAAAATTTTTCTTATATCCTGTATTTTAAGGAGAAGGAACAGAGAGCTATTGCTTAATATACAGTTTTTTATGTTTTACTGATTTAAAGGAACTCCTGAATAACCAGGGCATCCTAAGCTGATTGATTTCCTTTGATTTTTTGAGCAAAAAAATTATGTCCAAATTTTTTTCAATAAAGCTACCATAATTATATCCAGGTATGCTTGTGGGGATGTAGTCAGAACAAATAGAATTTCTTTAATATTAAGCCAGTTGTTTGATATCTGTGTGGAAAGTAGTTGGTATAAATATTGTCAAAGAGAGTTGCTGTTTGTGATGTTATCATGGATAGTAACAATATCAAAGGCAAGAACATATGAAAATGATGCCCATGCAGCCAAAACTTCTCCTGCAGCATTATCTATTTTGGTTATTCATCACCTTCAGTTTGAAATCACTTACTCAAAACCATACATTTATTTATTATTTTTTTTCTTTTTGAGATTTTAACTATCATTTCTATGAAATTGTTCACAAAAGCATTTAAGTTTTGGTTTGGTGGTCAGTAAATTACACCCACAATACTTTAGGGTTCGCATAGATGACCTTACATTCTGGAGCTCAACATGGTGGACAAGAGAGCAGAGCAATCCATATCTTCCCTTCACATGCCAGGGAAGTCCTAGAACCTTTAGTGTTAGTGACCTATACATCTGAAAAAAATAAACAACAGAATTTTGATTTTATCATTGAAAATGTTACAACACTTTTTGTACTTTATTTTATCCTAGGGTTAACATTAGATACAGTTGAGACAGGTGTCACCAAAACTCAGACCTTGATAACTCAGACATTAGACCCTAGCAAAACTCTAACCTCTGGATGTCTCAAAAACTCAGACCACTGAAGTTCCCAAAAACAGAGTTCCCTGATTCCAACTTATTTCTATGATTTTAAGCAATTTAGTACACTCAACAATTTAAATTTGTTCAACTCATTATTACATCAGTGCCACTTAGTGAGAGCAAGCTTTAGATTTTTAAAGGGTAAAGAAAAGAAGAAATTGCCAAATATAAAAGGCTTACATTCCTGAAACTAAACTAAATACTTCCAAAACTCCTCAAAGAGTAAGCTTTTTGTGTTACTTTTCATGGCACCCAGTCAAGACCTAATTACTTGCTCATCCAGTGAGTTTCTTGCAATTTCTTCATCTTTGTGCCATTGGAGAAATAGATCAAACAATGTCACAGCCAAGCTTGGAACACCTTCTATCTAAAATTTAAATATGAAACAAAAAGGTAGGCCTGGAATTACTTTTCAGAATTACTAGCTATAATTCAGACCAATACAACTGTGTAATTAGGAAATCAATCATGAGAACAAGTTGAAAATGTTAGCTTTCTGCACTACTGTGAATGGAAAACATTTTAAGAATGCACCTTTTCAAACATGGTGTAGTCACAGTAAAGATATGATCTGATGTTTTCAATAGACTTCTTTAAGTCCTAACTCAGCATTTTAAGAAGCTGTTAAAGATTTTCTCAGGTTAACCTTAACTTTGAGAAGCTACAACTTACAAAATCTTCTAAGTTCTCCCAGATAAGACCAATGAGATTACAAGTATGGTCTGAATCCAATTTTGTCCTCCAGTGGACACTTTTGTACAGTTGTTTCTTTTTTAAAAGAGCTTTAATGGAAACAAGCCACTGCTTCATGGCTGCAAGGAATTAAAAAGATAAATATTTCCAAAATATAGGAGGATATTTACAGTAAATTTACCTTGCAAGGAACCTGCACTATGAAAAAAGATAACTGCAGTGCTTTGCAAAAGACACCAGAATTTTCAGAGCTTCAGAAAAAGTAATATAAGAGTTAAGGAAAAACCCATTTAAACTTTTACAAAAGCTGTAAACAGTTGCCCTCCACAGAGTTGAAACAACCAGGAAGTAAGACAATAATGAAATCAACAACATGCTCCACCAACTTGAAAACATTAAGGTTATCCATAAGGTTTAAGCCTCAAGTTTGTATTATTCATTTCCACTTGGTCACAATATTCTTTCTGTTAATGATTTACATATTTCCAGTAATTTTAATGGCTGTTAGTCAGTTAGAGAGTTTAAGAGGGGATTGACAGAAGGCACTTTACCAAACTACTACTTCTACTTTTTTTATGTCAAGCAATCTATTGAATCTTTTCATTTGCCACTATTGAAGTTTTTCATCAGCAAATTAGTTGTTTCAACCAAATATCATACCAAGGTCATATTTAGAGTCAGTCTAAGGGAAATTGATTAATCTTCATTGTAGATGCTACATCAAAGAAGCTAACTCACAACTATCTTGTACTACAATTGGAAATATTAGTATTGTACCTTCAAAAGCAACATAATGAACAGGTGAGCATTTGCTCTCTTTGCAAAGCTTGTATATTGTCTGAAATAGGAGACCTTCTATCAAAGTAGTACCCTCTTGATCTTCTATCTGAAAACAATCAACACAAAAGGTTCTATGTCTTGCTGAAAATGATTTACATCCTTAAATGTCAAACACTCAAGTCATGAATTCAATGAAATGAAATGACATGAAATTTCATGTAACAAGGAAAACAAAATGGGTGGTTAAGAAGGATGACTACAGTATATAGACATGTATATACATGTGCATGTAGCTATTGACATTGTTACTGTTTATGACCTGCCTCAGGATCATTCTCTTCAACAAACTTCAACATCTCTCTCTGGAAACAAGCCACACCATTAGTGATGCCAAATGGCACACAAGTGAACTGATACAAGTTGTTCTGAGCTTTGAAGGCTGTATAAGGTATGTCTTCACCCTTAAGTGGCACTTGATGATAAACTCCTTGGAGATCAATGGTGCTAAACACCTGGTACTGGGCAATCTCATTTACCATATCATTGATCTTCATCAAAGGAAAAGCATCAAGGGAGAGTAAATCTATTGATGGTCAACAAATAATCAATTGTGAAATTCTTTTTGAGATTTTCTTCCTTAGTTACCACAGCTCGCCATGGTGAGCAACTTGGTTCTATTATACATTCACAAAAAAGCCTTTTCACTTCCTCATCAATGAAGGCAGAATTTTCTTGGCTGTATCATTGAGTATCAATATCATTGTAATTGAATAGCAATCTGCTGACATGTTTCTTAGTGGCTCAGGAGGTTCAACATTTAGTTTCCTAAAACCACAGAAAGACAGGGGTGGAACACAAAGCTTAAGTGCTAAGACTGGAAATTAAGACCCAGTATAAAGTAAGCACAAAGGCCAGGCAGGAAAGACAGCTTGAAACCACTGTACTTGCGCCCTTGATAGGAAAGATTACCCAAACATGTTCCCTTGACCTTAACTGTGCTGGATGCAGGAGTAGCCATGGATACCACACCAGATAATGGATAAACTGTCAGGGAAACTTTGTCTGCGAAATTTCTATGTATCAAACTTTCACAAATCCTTTTTTCAAACAAGGCTTTGACTTGAAATCCATCAATTTCATTAGTTCCTTATGACTTTAAAGCAGACAAGTTTTTCTTATTGGCAGTCTGTCCACAGGAAGCCCTTGCAAAGTGAACTCTCTCATGACATTTCGAGCAAATTGTATCACGAGATAGACTCTTAAAGCAAGGATCATTATTGTTTCCACAGAAGTAGCAAGTAGAGCCTTCAGTCCCTATTGCAGCCAAAGTGTTTGGATTTGGTTCTTGTTCCAAAGCATGAGTAATGGTCTGTGGAATTGCTAGGTTAACAGATGAAGAAGGAACCTTTTATGATTCAGGACTACACATGGCTGATTTTAGAGTCTAAGCTTAATCAAACATGGTTTTTAATTCAAGTGTATTATTCTCCAATAATCTCTGACAGATTGAAGGGGACTTTGTAATACTGTGCAGGTGTTACATTTTGGAAGTTACTATCCTGGCTGAGCATCTTTAGAACTTAGGGGTTTTGTCTAGTCTTTTATGAGGCTGTTGGTGTCTTGTGGCAAGGATATGATGGGCATAAATTTCATTTCCAGGCTTCACAAACAGAGTTTGTAAACCTTCAACTTTCTTTTCATAACTAATACACTCTTCAATGTGTTGGAAGATTGCAGGTGAAACAAAATTGGCCATCACTTCCAATTTGTTGAGGCCTTCTTGTGGTATACAACAAAATGTATTTAAAACAAATTTGTAACTATACTTTACTATAACAGTAAAGTATTTGTGATTAAAATGCACCATTATCAGATTGTTCATCACATTCTATAACATTACAGTGAATGAACTGAAAACTGGATATTTAAGTTTTCCTTCAAGTTTGAGCCAAGCTTCCAAAAAGTGTGGAAGAATGAGGTTCATAGTTGATCCCTCCAACTAGCTGCAGTAGTAATAAAGTTGATGAAATTGTCAAAATATTGCTTTTTCTCCAGCATCCTCTCAGCTACATTTACATTGTTATTCCACCATTATGCCTCTTCAGCATATTATAAGTATAAATAAAAGCATTCAAATCTTTGCTTAGGATAGATTGAAAACATTTTCACCACTCAAGTAAGAAACAAGGGATTGCACTTGAATAATTGAGAAAATAACCCAATATCAGAAGCATAATAAGTTCTCCCAACATCCTGGGTGATTTATTATGTTGGTAAACCAATCGAAAGTGTATTTTCTTGCTTAAATTTATGATTACCATCACTATTAACAAGAATTGTTTATCAAATAGGAAGTTTGTGTAAAGAAAGGAAAACAATTCAAATATCCTTTTAGACAAAAAAATAGCAACCATCTAGTGCATCACCTCAAGCAGTATCTGTTCTCTTTGTGATTTAATGATTCCCACTACAATGGCTAGCTGCACGATGGGTCTGTATTCAGGTAATGGTAGATTCACTTTTAAACATCCAATCACCACTGAGTGAAGGTCGTGTACAGCTCGGTTCTTTGCAAGAGATGCTCCTATTCAAAAAAGCATATGTGAAATCCAATTGGATGTTTAGCATTTCATTTGGTTCCAGTTCAGGCAGGGTTCAGGGTTGGGGTTAGTGTTGCTTAAATTTCCTACCAACTTGTATAAATAATACAGTTTCAGACATGCCCTGTATCATAGCTTTGTCATGCCTCTAGCTTGACTTTCCAAGAAGCAAGGTAACATAAAACTTACCTATAATTATCTGCATGTAAGAGGCTACAAAATTTGTTTTCCACAAAGTTAAGAATTAGAGTATTCATTTAGCTTAATCATACCCAAAGGCTGTATATTGTACCTATGATGGACCTGGTATTGTTCCAGAAAATAATATTGGCCCCAACAGTATACATAAGGACTTGCCTATAACCTCCCATTCCCTATGGCTCTTCTAAAGTTCATAATCACTGTACAGTACATGTATTGGCTCTCTCCTCAAATTTGCAACTGTTCTCTGGTGCATTAAATATTTCAATACTTTAAATCTTAACATGCTAAGAAAACAAATACAGATGAATTATGATCACATCATGTCAAAAAAATTTTTTCCAAACAATATTCTCGTACCAAGTCTTTGATGAGAAAAATGTTTGGACAGTTGTTTACTGATGGAATTTTTTTCATGCCATCAGATATTTCATACCAATCATTGGGAATCTAATTCAAATTTTCTTAGCATACATACAGATGTGGAGGATAAGACGCAAAAAGTTCATTCTTATCTGCTTCAGATAACTGTTTTACCACAAATATCAAGTTTAAACATAATATAAATAAGCTTTTCTTTGCTAATGTTTATAAATTAGTAGCATTAATTAAATTGAATCAATCCACCACTGTAGCAGCCAAAATAAAAGATTCATATAATAATATGAGAAGTCTACCATCAAACACAATATGGTGTGTTTCTTGTGACTGAAAGCTTAGCATACTTGAATTTTTAGGATTCAGGAAATTTACCAGAACCCAGGTCCCTGTAGACACAGGTTCCTGCAAGTGCTTTCCAATTCAAGTTTCATTGGCATACAAACTGCATGCTGCCTCCTCATCCAACATATGCCTACACAACCAGAGTACCTACCTGATGCAATTAGTAACTGTGAAATAGTTTGTTTGGTACAGATATTCTGATCAGCAGCTATGCTTAAGAATAGGCCAGTTGCTGTCCCACATAAATATGTACATTCCTTCGGCAAGGTCTTGAAAATATAATAAATCAAAGCATGGAAAATGGTCAGTGAGTGCAGAATATGGACTTGTATAAAACATGAACTGCATTAACAAACACTTCTCATTCATTTTGAGATCGTTACCCAACTGGCACAACACTGTTTTCAGTGTTGTTTTAAGTGGGAACATGGAAATTATTTTGTTATGTTATGTAGCATTCTGGTGTACACTCCAAGTCTGTAATGACAGATCTATGCATGATAAATCAAAAACTATTTGTCTTTTTAGAGAAGGGCTAGTTGCTTTAATTCCACTTTCAATAACATCATCTTACTTTAGTAAATGATGTGACTGTAATCACACAAACCCTTTTTTATTAATTAGCAACAAATTTGGATAGTTTTCGTTCTTGTCAATTGTCTTGTGAAGCCTGTGGTTAGTGCTTTAATCTCAATTTGCCTGTCAGACAAGAAAAAGCGTTCATCTCTTTCATCAAGTAGCCCTATACTTTACTGTACATTTACATATCAGTATTTATTTTATCAAACTACTTCTGTTTCTGCAATCTACCAATATCATTGCATAATGAACTACATACATAGTACTGTATTCAAAAACTTTTTACAGTATATTACCCTCATATGATAAACTTAATTTTTCAGTTAAAAAAGGTCCTTAATGTGATTTATCACATTAACCAGTTTAAGTAATTATTCAACAAAGCAGTCATATCTTATAAGTACTGCTGGTGACAGAAAAGTGCTTTTAATAAAGAAGTCACACCCCCAGCAGAACTCATTGTAAATCAAGCTGACTATAACTGCAAGTTGTTGTTCATTAGAGGAAAATCTGAGTGGTGCAAAGAAGGATTTCAAAAAAGAAACCAAAACATCATAAATCATAAATATAGTTGGATATTTAAAAGAGGTTTGCTTAACAACAAAACTAGGATGCACAGATAATATGTCAGAACTGATGTTCTGAGAACAATGGCTCATGGCCACTTTAATTCTGTGTTTAAAACTACTGGTACTACCAGTACTACTTCCAGCAATGGAAATCATTTCCTTTTGCAATCCTTTTTTCCACTGATGTCTCACTTAAAGGGCTCTCGTTTTTTTGTTCTTGTTCCTTCCATGGAGTTAGAGTAAACTTTCAAGAAATACACTAGTCTCTCCTACATTCTTTTAAAAAATATATATATATAAAATGGACCAGACCCTTCCACAGGTACTTTGTGGTCTGTTGTCACTGTTGTCTGATCAATTTTAACCAGAAATAAACTGTGTAATGTGCTCTCTCACACGTCCCATGGTACAACAAGACCAAAAAAATGGATGCAAATGATATTTTGCTAGCTTGAGTGTAGGGCCCTCGTATCTGGTGTTTCAGCACTAACTTTTTTAATTTACAGGGGAAAGCAAATAAAAACTCCATTTTATTTCCAGGAGACCTTAACCAAACATATTTTGCCATATCCATTTTTCAAATAAGTGAAAATACAGATAAAATGGTCCAAAAAGTAAAAAGATTCAAACAGTTAAAAAAGTTTGATGAAAATGGTCCGGCCAGCAAAAAGGTTGAAAAGGGGTAAATTGTTTAAATGGGTGTAACTATATAAAATGGTCCAAGAGGTTAAAATGGTTAAAGTGGTTAAAAAGGTTAAAAACTGCTTAAAATTGTCTAACTAGATGAAATGGTCCAATTGGTTTAACTGGTCTCTCTAGATGAAATGGTCCAATTCAAACTGGTCTAACTTAATGGCCCAACTACTTAAGTTAATATGATTAAAAGGGATTAAAAGGTTCAAAGGGTAAAATTTGTTAACATGGTCTTACTGGTTGATAAAATGTCCCAATTGGCAGAAATAGTCTGGCTAGATAAAATGGTCCAAACGGTTAAAATAGTCTAATTGGTTAAAATGGTCTACCTGGTAAAATGGTCAACTAGCAGAGGTGGTCTTACTAGGTCCTACGTACTGATCTAACTAAATGGTCTAATTACCTAAAATGATCCAACCAGTAAAAAAGGTTAGATGTTTAAAAGGATTTTAAAAGGTTAAAAGGGAAAAATTTGCTTAATGGTCCAATTGGTTAAAATGGTCTAACTAGATAAAATGGTTCAACTGGTTAAAATGATGCATTTGTTTAAAATGGTATACCTAGAGAAAATTGTACAACTGGTAGAAATGGCCTAGCCAGACAAAATGGGACAACTGGTTAAAATGGTCCATTGCTTAAAATTATCGTATTAGATAGAATGGTCTAACTGCTCCAAACAGTCCAGCTAGAGAAAATGGTCCAACTTAAAGACATGGTCTACCTAGAAGGAATGGTCAAATTGCTAGATAAAATAGTTCAATTGCAAAAAATGGTTAAACTAGATAAAATGGTCAAACTAGTTTCAAAGATTTTACTAGATAAAATGGTCCTACTAATTAAAATGGTCCAATCTAAATGGGAGAAATGGCCCAACTAGTTCCAGCTGGTCAAATGAATGGTCTAACTGCTTATAATAGTCCCACCAGTAAAAATTGATCCAGCTGGTTAAAATGGTCCAACTGGTGAGAGTGATCCAAGTAAAGAAAATGGCTTGACTGATTAAAATTTTTCAACCTAATAAAATTATTTAACTAGTTTAAAGGGTCCAACTGGTAAAAAATGCTCAACCTAGGAAAACAGTCCAACTGGCCAACTGGTCCAGTGATGCAGTTGGTAAAAATGGCCTAAAATAGTCTAACCCCTTACAATGATCTTCATAGATAAAATGATCCTACTGGGTAAAATGTCCCAATTGGTTAAAATGGTCTAACCACATACAATGGTGCAATAGGCAGAAATGAGCTAATGAGGTCCAACTACTTAAACTTGTCCAACTGGAAAGAAAAGTTAACAAAGCTAAAAGGGTAAAAATGATGAAATTCATTAAAATTGTGTCACCAGTTAAAACTGTCCAATTGCTTAACCTGTTACACCTTAACTTCGGTATGCATATTCTCCTTACTGTTCTCTAAACATTCCTTAAGGTGCTAACTAGAAGAATGTGTTGAACAATTAACAGCTTCTTTAGTTGGTGATTATGTTCTTTAATTTTCGTGACCTTAATAATTTCACAAGTATTTAAAAATTTTTCATAGTACATATTGTAACTTGTGAATGTGCAGTTGGGAATCCTTCTGGGATAGAGGGTCAGACTGCTAACATCATGACTTCCCAATCTGGAAATTGAGCCCAATGCTCAACATATTTGCTTGAAATTTACAAAAAGTATCTGACAAGTCACCTAGCCCAGACAAAACGCCACGTCATTCCAGTTTCACAACCCACCGCAGAGAGTTAAGAGCTAAGAAATTCAGAAAGTTAACCAAATTTGTACATTCCTAAACAATAAACTACTCAATAAATTTCTACATATGTATTAGGACTAGCTCATACAACTGTACATTCATCCTTATTAGGATGCAAGTACATGTACCTCACAAAATAATATCATCCACAGGCTGCTGATGATAACTTCCATGAGAGATTTCTCTGCAATAAATAATGTAATTAAATGAGAGTACTAATAACATATAACTGTCCATAACCTGTACAAGCACAGTGCATGTAAAGTAATTCTTCAGATTCTGACATCATAACAATATGTTTTTAAACTTCCATCAGCCATCAATTGTGACAAAATCACAATAACTTACATTAAAATCATTTTGAATTTTCAAAAGTAATCATGGGTAAAAACAATCATGTTTACAACCTCAATGTGGCATGGTAGATACATGTATATTTCACCACAGTACAAAAAGAACACATACATGCAAATGTTTATGGCTCCTAAAGAAGATACAGCTCTTAATGATAATATTCATGTGTGCACATTTAATCCTGACAAAACAAACTCTACTTATGTATAATTACATACTTTTATTATCAAAATCATTGTAATAATGCTACATTACAGCTGACAGAAAACAAGTAAAATGAACTGCTGATGATTTCTGTGGGTTGTGCATAGATCTCTGAGTTTTTTTAAAACTATACGGTATTGTTCAAAAGTAATGCAAACAAAAAGCACAAATTTCATTTACATCTTAGGTATCAGCCAATCTCAGCTGCCATGGTTCTCATAAATATTCTAGCTCAATGGAGGCCTTGCTTAAGCAGGAGCTCAATGAAGGCCTTGCTTAAGAAGGAGCAGTTCCTTGTTCAGTTTGAAATTGTTAGCATGAATGCAGTTAAATGTAGAGAGAAAATGGTTGGATCAAGAAATGCATTGAGATGATCAAAAAATAACAAGATTGTTGAGGTTGCAATTCACTTGGAGACTCGATCAAAGTGGGAAACTCCATGTCTTTTGTTATAGAGTAGTTTAGCTTCACAAATACTGTGTTTGCATGAATTATAAAGTGCCGATAGCTGTAGAAAATTAAGGAGAGTTTTAGAAATTTTCCTTTGTGCAAACTTTCTTGAAAAGCCAGGACACTTTTTGGAATTCCTTGACAGGTGTTTCTATATGGGCCTTACAGGGTCCAATACAAATCAATTTACCAAACACAAATCAAAAAAAAAATTAGCAAAACACAAATCAGTTGACCAAAACACAAATCAATTTATTGAAACACAAATTAATTCCTCAAAAACCGTTTTTCCAAAAACACAAACCAATTAAATAAAACACTTTCACCCACTTTCACACCTTATTTTCTCACATTCAACAAACAAAATATTTTCTAAACCCACAGATAGCAGATGCTAATTAAGTATAGGTTTATTTTCTACCAAACTAAAACACAAACACTAAGACACTTACCTGCACAATATTTAATTTGCCTACAATGTTTTCAAGAAATATTTTAATAAAATATTGAAATGAGGGAGAGTTGTTTACATAAACATTTTGTCAATCTAAATTCTGCAGTCTCCCAATGTGTGACAAGCCTTGTAAAACGTATCAAGAGATTTGGTTCTTGAATTTCAATCATGCATTTTAGTTGCACCATATGATCTTTGCTGCTATAAAAACCTAGAATGTAAATGGAGAAAGATTCTAAAGAGAACATAGTTTTCCAAGAAACATATCTTCTGTCTCCTATCACTCCTGGAGCTCCCATGACAACACCACTCCACATCATGCAGTAGCATTATTTTTCATGAAGGACAGCTGCAAGATCTATTGTGTCCTTAAGAATTACCTCTCATTCTTATTTATTGCCTCAGACAAGCAGAAAATAACATTCCCAATTTTCTTGAGAGGGAAAACCCTGAAACATATTGAAACCCATGGATATGATCAGAGGAGGATTGACCAGATATTGAATTGTAATATCACCTCCTATCACACACCACAGCCTGTGACAAAAACACCAAGGAACCAACACATTAGCTGTGGAAAATTCAGACTCTCTCTAATATTCATGGTGCTGGCACCCAGTCATTTGATTTGTGTTTGTGCTGTGCAAAATTGGTTTGTGTTTCTGGGAATATGAATCATATTTGGGAAAATTGTTTTTGTTTTGAGAAATTAAGTTGAGTTTTGGTAAATTGATTTTTGTTATGGTGAATTGATTTGTGTTTTGGTAAATTAATTGAGTTGTGTTTGGTAAATGGTAATGTATTCGACCCTTTTGTGCTACAAAAGTTTGCATAACTTTTACACAATACTGTAGTTCTGTTTACCTTCACTTGATGTAGCCTTGTAACTATGAAGCAGGGAACCAGTTTTAATTGGGAAGTATTGGAACATCTTCAAAACAGCCTATAAGACCAATAACCACACACGTAGTACATAAACTTTAGTCTCACAAGCTCAATTTCTGACTGACTTTAATTAGAGGAAAGCAACTTAATTTTTGCTGGCATCATTTTCAAACATCACACAATGACATGGTTCCACAAATAAATATCAACTGAAATAAAAATTCTTACAGAGAAATCCCAACTATGCTTAGTTTTTCAGGAAACATAACTTTTTTCTCAACTTCCCTTTTAGGTGAAATGGAAACCCATGTTTTTAGCAGGATTGAGAGAAATGTGTAGAAACCAGCAGATAGATGTATACATGAAAGTAAGAACTGAAACAAGGGCAATAGATGTAATTTGTGTTATCCACTTTAGCCTGCATCTTTGGCAGATTACACAAGTCTTGATCTAGATAATTCTTCTTATCACTCTTAACCTTACTCAATATTATGATTACAATCAATTAGTAGAATGTCTACTTGAAGAGATAAGTATCCCCTCAATTGCTACTCACCTTAACAATGATTTGACATGTCATACCTGAGTTACAGGTAGCTGACAATTCCACATTGATGGATTGTTTTTTTACACAATTCTGTCAAGTAACATAAAATTAATAATTAAAAGTGATTGTCATTTTATTCTTTAGTTTCTGAAACTACATGTATTCTTTATTAACCAGAAACCAATAAGATAATCTAAGGTGCATCATATCAAATAAGCAGAGGATGGGATATACCATGTGGGTTGCTGCAGAGCAACCTACACAGCTTGTGTTCTTGAGGCACAAAGAACATGAAGGTGGAGAGCTTGACAATAGGTGATGGCAAATAGACAACTTTTAGTGCTCCACTTTATACTGGCAAGACTACTTATTTTCTAATCATGAGGGATGAACTTTGCTTGTTGTATGCAAGGGCATCTTGACAAACAGTTTGTAATAATGATTGGCAATCTAAATCTCTACAGGAAAAGACCAGGGTTGGGGTTGATCAGAAGTAAGTGGGCTGGAATGTTTATCTATCTTCTGCCAACTAGGAAGAGAGACATAACAGAATCCTTGCTAAATGACATTCAAATGAACAAACTACAATATTTCAAGGAATGCAGGGTGTGAAGTTCCAAACATTAGTAATTATGTAATGGTTAATGGGATGTTGATTGAGAAAGTGAAGCACCACCAGAGCAAATTGGTTATGTATAGAGATTCAAGAAGTTCAGCAAAGCAGGAAAAACTTGAGGACAGCACCATGGCATGTGGGTGAAATTTTTGATTCAGTGGATGACAGTTACAACCACTGGAATACACTATTCAGCAAGATATCAGTTGAGCATCTGCCAATGAAAAGAATGAGAGGGCAATTCTTATTTGAAACCCAGAAAATGATGCCACATCCAAGAAAAAAGAGAATTTAACATGAGAAAGAAAATCTTCAGGAGACTGTCCTATGAGATAAATCTTCCCCAAAAGGAGTAAACAAGCTCCCTCAGAGTTCTGAATTGCAACCAAACTGCTACTCACTATACTTGGATAACCAGTATTGCAAGAAAGCTCAACATTGGATGATAAAAAAAACTGACCACATTCTTAATCAGTAGCATTTTGAACAGTATTATTGGATCAAGTGGTTCATCTACAGTAACAGATAAAATTATGTGTCAAACATCTCATCTTTACCTGATCAACTACAACATCAACATTGAATTCCACTACCAATATATAAAAAAAACTTTCTTGGAATTTTTCGAGATCTCAGAATTATGAGGCACACAAAGTAAACAAGCATCCCATTGAATTTGTGAGAGGTCAGAACTAAAGTGTGTTTAAAGAACAAGGGCCAGCTATTTAAACAAAGTTAAGCAATTGTTTAACAAAACTGCCATCTAAACTATCTTGAATTTAGCTGAATCTTTAATCTGAACATTCATTTATGTAAACAGTATCACAAGGGCCAAAAGCTAGCAGTGGTAGGACATTTATTTCATGAAAACAACCCTCTTACAGGGAATTTGTAAGGCCCACTGCTTGGGTGAAAACCACGGTTTAAAGTTAGACATTGTATGAATATGATCAGATCTGTCACCTCTAAAGTTTAAAACCCAGGTTGAAATCATGGTGTGAACATGAAAATGAAGCACTCTAAGATTGCTCAAGTTAATACAAGGGAACCGAAGGTACATCAATATTACCAAAGACCTTCTGAGGGTCACTTTTGTAACAAATTCTATTTTTCACCACTAGTCTAGAAGCATTTTCCAAAATCAAAAACTTTTCAAAATTTTTTAAAGAAATTCCTCAGAAAAAAGTTATCAAATTATTTATTTGAAACTTTCCTTTAATGTTCCCTATCAATCTCTGTTTCAAGAACTACAATAAAAAAGACAGGTCACCATGCTTGCTAGAAAGATTTGATGGGCTCATCTTCCTACCCCATGGTACTAACCATGTTCACTTGATGAGTAGAAAGTCTCATAGTCTCAAGCATATTTTATTTATAATTTATATTTATAACAACTTTATTTAAATAATATCATATATAATATATTATTATTAAAAAGGGGTTATAGAAGGGAGGAACTTAATCCTCATTGTAAACTATACCGTAGATATAAATATGGAATAATTTCATATATAATATAAGGGAAAGTCATCCAATCTTAAATGACATCAACTCAAAATGTTCCCCATGTCATGGCTTTCAAGGTCGTAATTTTTACCCAATTACATAATGTTATGTGCAGTACAAGGCAGTGCAATACTGCCAAATCACCTTAAAGGCACGCATGCTTGATGTGTTTGCAAAAATATTTTGAGTTTCTATTCTCTAGCCTGCAAAAGTGTCAGGGCTTGAATTAAGCAGTAACCAATGGTTTGTTGTGTTATAGGTTTGGTTACTAAAAATATGTTCCAGTCACCTGACATGCTTTTTACAAATTCCTTTTGGGGTAAGCAAATGTAAATGTCCTTCTGCATGAAATTGCTTTACAGTTCAACTGAACATGGAAGTGCCAACTTCAGAGAAAGTAATCTCAAGGTAACAAGGGCTATCAGTGACATGTGGAGAGTTGGACACAACTTCATTACTTTCTGCCACCTAAGTTTTTTCTCTGTTTTCAGTTTCATTTGGAGTCAGTGTGCCCTGTTTGTTAAGTCTATCAGGTGCACAGGTCATCCAAGACAGTAATTTAAAACCTTTCATTAGTTGGTTCCATTTACCATCCCAATTTCAGATTTAACATATTTTACATTCAAGGATTCAATGATTGTTAGATCATACCTTTTTCAAACCAGTTGGTAAAGTTAAAGTCTATTTACTCCAAGGATTCATTATTCAAAATATTCAAATTTGAACCCTGACTTGAAAAAACTCATGATGATGACCTAAAATAAGCTTGTGATCTTCCTCTAAGCAGAACATCCAGGTTCTTGAATTCAAAACATGTCACTCATAGTACCATAAACATAGCATAAACATAACCTGGTCCCAGAGGTATGTGAAGGTCATACTGCTAGCCAATTTTCTGTCTTAAACTCTGGTTTGAAAGGGAGAAATAAATTATTGTTTAACAGTGGTCTGTGTGTGAAGGCCAAAAAGAAGCCTTAAGTCTTTAATTTCCATGAGTGATCAAGACAGAATGTCTCCTTACAATACCAATACAATATCAAGCTGACAAGTGATCTGAGGAAATAAAAGCATCTATTAGGGGATTACTAGCTGATCCAATTTCAAATTCTCCCACTACAGCACATCATAAGAATTGTATGGCTGACAGTTATACTACCCATATATGGGCCATAGTTTATGCCATACCATTTCCATACTTGGACCATATATGGCCCATATCACTTGGTTTGGTAAGGGTATGGACAGATGTGTGAGTGAAAGGATTAAACATCACTTATTTACAAAACAGTGCCTTACTTAAAATTCATTACCACTACAAAAAGCTACAAGTGCCTCAGTAACTAGTCCATTCTTTATTACCTGTTGACAAAAGGAATCTAAGCATTGTGAAATGGTTGTAAGAATGTTTTCAAAGAGCTCTCCAACACACTCCCTTCCAAAGGCAGAGGCATCAATGAGCTGACAAACTGTTTTACATTGTATAAGAAAAAACATCCATAATTTAGAAATATAGCACAATGCACCATCTGTAGGTCATAAAATTTTCCATCCACCCTGAACTGTATATATTGCTGAGCAATTCTGTAGCTTGAAATATCTATAGTTAGACATACAGTACGTATTAACCTTACACACAGTACATTTTAACTTTAAAAGCTAAGGGACCCAGTAACAAAAACACCATAAGGAAATTGTAATGAGAAAAACTATCATGAAGAATTTAAATAGGATAAACAAAAGACCTAAAAGAACAGCAAGCCAGCCCAACACTGTCTCAGGTCCAGCAGACTACAGCAACTCACCTATACGCAAACCTTCCCCACATACATCCGTTACAACAACATGCTTGAAATAAGAACTATCAAACACAACTTTATATAAAGTACAAGTACATGATGGTATAGTCAATTACTATGTATTCACATCTGTTATCCATAGACAAACAAAATGTATCTTACCAACTTCAATTTGATAAACAACTTTGCTTGTAGACAATAAAAGCTCTTGGATATTTCTTTTGATCTCACATTTTGCATGATGGTGCTTGAACTCACAAAGGATTTCAAATGTCTGGAAGAAATTATTATTTTTTTAGTAATGTACTATGAAATTGTTAAAGTTTTGTAAATATATGACATTGTCATGTGCCCTAACCACCAGCACGAATATTTAGAAAACCATAATTACAGCTAAAGTGTGTAGAGGCAGACACATTGATATGAGCCAGTCCAGAAAAAGCAGTCCAGCCCCTCACTTGCACCTCTCAGTTTCATTTTCCGTGAATGTCAATTCTTATTGTAAATGTCACATTAAACTAAATCGGAAATAAGGATATATTTTACATTCTCAATTAATTGACAGTTTCATCTTTGTTTTACAACAATGAAGTAAATGTTTTTATTGTAAAATGGTCACAACCTGTTTCAGTTCAAATATAATAACACAATTTTAAGACACAGTGGTCTTATTATAGAACACTGATTGACAGAGTTAATTTGTGCTGGACAAGAAAATATATGGCTCTCAGTCATGACACATGGACCCCACTCAAAGCAACAAGAAACCCTAGAATGTGGGCTGAAAGAAGAAAAGGAAGAAAAGAAAGAACCATATCCACATGGTAACTACTAATTGACTGATTTATCTTGGTCATCACATATGGATTGAGTACAACAGGGTCCATGCCCAATGACCTTTGAGTGAAACATTTTCCCATCCAGACCTCTCACTCAGTTACTACATAAAAAATTATTTAGCGCATAGCCACAGTGTATTTTAGCAAGAGCTACATACTTTCCAATCTGAAGTAACCTAACCAAATGAATAAGCATTTTACTACATGGATTTTTCAAACTGTATTTCAACACAAGCATTTGAGGGGCCGTGCAGGTGACAGAAACACCACAAATACACTTTAAATTAAATACATTTTACAATATCATTGATACTATCAAGTAATAAATGTAAAAAAACGAATATGCTGGTTTTACCTTTTTTACTTTCTGACAAAGTTTGAGATTCTTGAGGGAGCAAAAATAAATCCCACACCATATACTTGTGAGTGGTTTTAGCAGTTCTTGGGTTTCGGATGATAAGTCACCTTTGTGTGTTTGTACAAAAACCAGTTTTGACACCACATCTAGGATTGCCAGTTTCTGCTTAAACGTGGGTTCCCTAAATCAGGAAGAACGATTATCTTCTCTAAGAAACAATTTCATTAAACCACATTTTATACCAACACAAAGCATGACCCCTTAAGGTAAACTACATTGTGTGCTGTTTTCACCATTTTTTTCTTTTATTAAACAATTGTATCATGGATGCAAAATAAAATTTGGGTTATGTGGAATTCTTGACATCTTCTCAGTTTGGACCACAAACAAACTCCCAAAGCAATAGAGAATAGCAAAACAGAGTCCTGATCCCGTTTCACGCGCGAACTTTAGGATTCAGATGTCACAAATTTAGAAGGGAAACCTTCACACCTTCTCGTATGCAAGGTTTCAGGTAAATCTTGAGGTTTTCACGAAATGCAATGAAAATATTCACGGGTCACTTATGCTTCAAGAGGTGTACTGTATTGCGTTACATAACGTTGTTACTAAAGGACATTACTTTCCACTCAATCGTATTGTAAGTCAACGTTCCTGAGTAAAAAGTAAAATGACTAATCACAATTACTTTATGGTCAATATACTATCCTAATCATTGACAGTTAAGTTAGAGCAATGAAAGGAGTCGATTAACCAATAAGTACTCCAAAGGAGGGAACTCACGCTTCGTGCTTGTGCTAAATTCACGAATCACGCATGCCTCTCGATAAAATTGACGCGTGACATAATAATTCCGGACTTAATCACGCGTCACGTAAAAACACTTTGCCACTCTCACAATAGATAAAAAGTGAATGAGTGGAAATCAAGAAAGCTATGTGTGTGATTCACTCACTGGAGATATTCTTCAGTCTTGACACAAACATCTAGCCATGATCTTGGCCAAGATTCTTTGTAAGTACTAATAAGATTTTTGATTTCTTGAACGTAGAAAGTTTCATCCATCAGTAAGGCATATCCACTCAGTTAGTTGGTACCCAACCGTCTGTAATCGTTCTCTGTCGCTAAGGAAAGGAGTAAGCTGCTTCGAGTGGTTCAATTCGCAAAACGAAGCTTAACTTTGTCATCAGCGTCATAGTAGAGTAGCAGCTGAGTGAAAAAGCGAGGGAAGCTTGGGTCGGGTCGTATACACGACCCGACCCAGCCTCCCTTGCATTTTCACTCCGACACCGCTACTCGCCTGGCTACTGCTAAAGCGCAGTTCACTACCGGGCTTTGTTTTTCTAACTAAACACCTAGATCAGGCTACTCCGAACAATGCGAAGGGATCGTGCAAAGGATGTCCTCTATAAGCGGGTATCTCTATAAGCGCATGAGCAAATTCCTTTGTCAAAGCGCTCTCAGCATAATAACAAATCAGTGGCTAACTGACTGCTTGCATTCTACGAATTTTAAAGCGATTCCCTCCTCTAAATGAAAACCCGGATAAATTTGTGTGAGGGTTATCTTTCCAACTAGACTCTGATAGCTTTAAATTAATAAAATAAAAATTGTTAACAGTGGCAAGAAATCTTGCTGTGTGACCAAGTTCACTACCCAACCCCATTGGTTGAATAAACAAAAACAAAACAAAAAAAATTAAGAAATTCGCTCTATCGTCATTCTTTGGGGGCCACATCCCATTTATCAAATTTTACAAACCACAGCTTTACGTAGATATATATTTGAGTGCGCGTATTGTAAAAAAAGGTGTGACTGTTTTCACTTCGCATGCCTTTACTACGAATATTGTACATTGTATAAACCTGAAGTGTGGCAAAATTACGCCTAGCCTGAATATTCTTATTTTTTTGATGTTACAATATATTCTCGTTAAGGTTACTGTGAAACTTCGGGATCGAGTGTGTTCCGAGAATGGTCTGTACGCGCGTCGCTTTCAATAAAACCCCTGAAAAGTATCTATCACCTTAAAGATTATAAAAAATAAAATCTTAGACAAAATTATTTTAAGGGAGCACACGCCCTTAAACCCGAAAATAAACGATGAATTACATGTACCTGTCTTCGTGTTCGTAGCATTGCTGGAAATACATTACGATGCAAATCAGCAGTTGATGGGCTGCAAAAGTATGTGATAATTTTTCGATATTCCCACAGTGGCTGCTGAGAAAATCTATATTGAACTGAGTGCATGGAATATTTCACAATCCTCGTCACACAAGAAGGCATAAAAATAGAAGAATCTGGAATATCATAAAAGTGCGTTAATGACTCGTTAATAACTTGGTAACAATCTATCCACACACCCTGTTAGTTCGTTCGACGTAAGGGAAATCAAAGTGAAGGTAAAGCCTGAGTTTTCGGCCTCCTTAGTTTTAGAAATTCAAACGTCTCATCAGAGTGGTTTTCCACACTGTCATGTCGCCGACCGTTGAAACATGTGCCGAATTGGGATAATTCCGCAATCAAATCGAAACTGGGGTCCCAGATGTAGAATCCTGAGAGAGGAGGAAAAAAGGAAAAAAGCACCAGCCAGCCACAGAGCAGAGACTGGGGGAGACAAACGGCTACATTAGCGGCCAGAATCTTTTTACCTGCCTTTTGTGGAAAAGCAAAGGAGAAGCCGAAGTTTAATATATGATGATAACACCTTTTGCTATCTATTAACTATTCTATCACTTTTATGATTTTCAAATAATATTTCCATCAAGCTAAAAAACCTTTTCTTTGGGTTCGAGGATGAGCGATAAACAAACTTTAATAATAATGATCAAGGATAGTGAGAACAAATGTTTTTACCCATGGAAAATCAAAATAAAGAACGTGCACGTTCTGCACTGTGAATACGTCTTACTACGTTATTTTTACCGCCCTATATTATGGATGAAAAAAGCTCTCTTCATCAATTTGTTGGGCGCGGTGGTGGCCCGCTTGTACGACAGAAACAGGATAGCCACGTTAGTCGAACAACTGGCATATTGCCTTCGATTTGTCGGGAAAATCAGGGTCGTCGCTACATAAACGACGAAGTGTCTGAGAAATTGTGAAAAAAGTATGGAGTTCTTGACGTGTGATGGACGCGAAGATGTTGCAACAACTATAGAATCTGTAGGTTTGTGGTAAACACTGGCGCATAGACCGTTGCCTTCAGTTGAAATTTTGATGTTTAGAAAATCTAAAGAAGTCAAAGGAGAGTCGGAAATTTCCCAGCTATATTTCAAAACCGGGTGAACAGAATTGACGGTGGTTATAAATTGAGCGAGTTCCTCTCTGGTGGAAGAGGTAGCGCCGATACAGTCGTCAGTGTAGCGACCGTAGAGTTCAGGTTTGGAGCCATTGATTGACTGAAAAATTGGTGTTTGATAAAACCTGTGAAAAAATTGGCGTAGCTGGGTTCCATTTTGGTACCCATGGCTAAGCCATTAGTTTGTTTATAGTAGTTGCCACCGAATGAAAAACAATTGAGTGTTAGTACTAGTTCGGCTAGACGGAGTAGTGTTTCAGAGCTAGGTTCCTTAACATAAGGTTGGTCGGAAAAATGTTCGAGAGCCTGGAGGTTTTCGTCATTGGGAATGACAGTATAAACTTTAATTTCCCACAGACGTAGCACCACAATTTCTTTAGAAACTAACCCCATCTTAAAAATGCAACTTTATATACACGTTTAATTGTAAATGTAAGGTACATTTGAACACATCCATATAATATTTTCCGTTGCTGAGTATTAAATGCGTGCGCATTCCGAGAACATCATAGCCATCGTGACCTTGTATAGTTATTATTTTCATTGATTATGTTATGTCAAAATAAATTTTAGATTGATCCAAGCTTTTATAAAAGGTTAGAAAACACCCCGCAGTATTTTGTTACACAAAAGCAAAATTTATTTACTATCCTCTGCATCTATAAATGTTTCACCTTATTTTCACACAGCTATTTATTTTGACTGCTATAAACTGACATCTGTAGTTTTAAGATGCGAGTAGTTATAGATTGAAGAATTTCGTACTTTCAAGTGTCCGTGACATGCGTGTAGAAATGCGTAGACATAAACAACCAAACATGAATCTAAAAATTTCGTTCAAATCTATCCTTGCATACATTTCAATTCATTCTTGATTTGGTCTTATTTCTTCAGCCTATCAGCACTAAGACGTGGTGTGGACACCTGTGTCGGTAGTATGAATTGAATCTTTGTCAAAACACGTGTTGCTGGCTAGACAATTTCCATCTGCAAACACTAAATAGCAAGTTGGGACAAAACGACCACGTGGACAGCGGAGAAAATTGTCCAAAATATGATTTGATTTCTGTTTTTTCAGATCTCAGGATCATTTAAATTCAACAATCACAATAAATGATACCTTGATATATGCAAAAAACAATTCACTTTGTTGAAAACAAATTGATAATTTGAATTTGCTATATGCTTTCGTCTTTCCACAGTTTCTTGAGAAAAGGAGATCAGGCGAGTAACAGCAATGTTGAGGTCGATCAGTTTATGCCATCGCTTTCGAAAAATCTTTCATTCTTAACGTTGATTTACTCTCTCTTTCGATAGTATTCTATTCAATCTGCGCGGATTCTTTCAGGCGTATCAGCCACGAACTATATATGTATTCTGTTGTGACGATGTCCTGACTGTAATCACACTTTCTAAGTTTTTATTAACAACTCAGAAGGTCGTGCTATTTAGCGTAAGATCACCTCTTGGAAACTCAAAGCACCGAAAAAAAGCCATATGTCATTATTTCATGAGAAAGGGACTCGTGCAGGGATAACCGCTGACGCGTAAGCTTTTGAATTATGCAAATTAGTTGCCGCCAGATTAAAAGAACGGCGAAAAGCAGTTTACAGAATGTTATCGGTGGTGTATTTTTAAACATGCGTGTATTCTTCGTCAGATTGTCGCGAAAATGAAAGATTAAATTGCTTCATCTAGGTCATGGCCGCCTGGGTATTTCGCTTCCTTGTTCAGAGGCCAAAATTTTGTTTCGGTAAGTAGTTTCGAAGAGCTCATGTTCACGACAAAATATCAAAATTCACGACGTTTAGTACACAGGTGTAATGTGTTTCATTTTCTATTTTTTTTTACAGGATTGACTTTGGGAGCGCATTTCGTCTTGCTTCTGGTGACGGGTTCGCTCTATCTTTCCGGCTATGATATTTTGCCGGCCGATTTTACCCAAGTTCCCTTGAATCTTGAACACGATGTGACAAAACTTCGCGCAGATGCGTGGAAGTTCGCCCGGCAAGATTCCCGAGTAAATATAAATCCCACTTCCGTGGGAACTCAAAGCGAGAGAACTATTCAATATGACGTTCTGGAATTGATGTACGACGCTGGAAAGGGAAATACTTTTACAAAACGAAATTTGGAACTCATTCAAGAAGCTGAGATGGAAATCTTTAACAATTCCATATATCAGCAACGCCTTTGTCAAATGCTGGAAAATGGTCTTTGTAAACCTCCCCTATCTATAATTCGATTCTTTGACGGGAGTTACAGATCAATTCATACGGATTTGTTTGATCCAGATTTTGAAAACATTTCAAGAATCCTGTCTTTGGCAAACTCGATAAACGTAACTCGGGCTATACTGGATTTTCATTTGGACAAACACGCCGCGGTTCATCCCAATGAGAACATGCTAGTTCAATCTCGATATACAAGGTCGTTATTTTACATTGGTTATCCTCTTAAAGGATTCCATAACACTGAAGACCGAGTCGACAAACAGTGGGACCAAGCTCAGTTATATTCTAAGGGCGCATTTGCCGAACATTTAGATGTGAAATTCAGACAAGGAATTGGGGAGATGAAATTTTATTACTATCTCCGTGCGTTATTTTTTAATGCCATTTCTCAGCAGGTCATATATGATCTTCTTTTGGCTGGTGCTAGCTTTACATTTATTTTCCTCTTCATGCTGTTTCAAACTCAGTCCATTTGGATAACAGGTTGGGCCGTGTTCAGCATACTTACGTGTTTCTTCGGCGCGAACATTATCTACCGGGTGATATTGGACTGCCGGTACATCGGTATTTTTCACGTACTCTCCGTGTTTATTATTCTTGGTATTGGAGCCGATGATGTGTTTGTATTTATCGACACGTGGAAAGCTTCAGAGTCAAAGACCTTTC